GTAGACCATTATAGACCTCTCCATGAATTGCAAGAGACGTCTCAAAAACAGGAAGCTTCACTGCAGTTGGACATCTCGCTGGATAGGTATCAAATTACACCTTCTGAAGAGCCTGTCGTCCAAACAGAAAACGTAACTAAAGAGCGAAGATACTCAACGCGAATCATTGAGTCAGTGCAGAGCCTCGAGGTCAACCTAAAACGTAAATTATACCAATCAAACGTAGCGTGCTATGCTGTTCAGTTTAAATGAATGAGCTGTTGGACTGGCTTTCACCTCACAGTCGTTCACCGTTATCATGTGACCGGGATGTGTCTACCGATTTTCCAGTAAATTGTTGCATATCGCGCGCCCTGAGAAAACACCGAGGAATTCTAACGACCGTCCGGAGATCCAATCGGATCGCACGTGATCCACTACGCACAAAAGCGCGGCGTCTGTCTACCCCAACTTGCGTGGCTTTTCACGCAATGAGACGCAGACAAGGGATACTTGAATGATCGGTACATTCTGGTCAATGTTTGAGGACCGAATCTTTGCCGGACCATGATAAGCGATGGCATTATTTTCATTTATCAGTTGGTCGCCTTCTTTGCAATGGAACATGAGTTTACTCTCCCATCGGTGACGTCCCTGCAAACAGAATGCCGTAGCGTACCTGAGGCTCAGCTCGTTCAACCTATTCAGCTGTAAGGTCAATATGACTTAAGCGCCGTCAAAGCTACCCGAATATATAACCCTAAAAGGTGGAAAGCGACCCGTCAGCAGCCGGTAAGTGCTACAATTGGTGAACATTTTCCACAAAACTGGGAGGGTGTGCGACGTCAAAGAGCCCAGGCGGCCTCGCACTAGTACTTCCGATTTTGCAGCTTGCACCGTTGTAGGTGAAGTATCTGGGAGATCTGATCTTAGCATACGTGGAATCGTTCAGCATTGTGACACCACAACCTACGCCGTTCAGAAGATTTTGAAAGAACATAATGTTCGTTGGTTTCGTACACTCCAGCTTCAGGTTTCGAATCCAAACGATCCGGATAAACGGAATACATTTTGCCATTGCATTTTGCATCACAGATGCATTCACTACGTAATGTTTACGGATAAGTCCGTTTTCCATTTGCATGGAACGGACAGACAACATTTCTGGGATACTTCAAATCCATGCAGATACACAGCGTCACGTATTCGGCATAGCGCCAAGCTGATGAGCTGGGCTGGAATTACCGGTTCGAAAATCGTTGGAGTATTTTTCTTTTCCAGGAAAGTGACCGGTAAGTTGTTTTATGTTACTCAAGCCTTGCTTTTTCTGACATCGTCGTACAAGGAATTGCTCCAGACTTGCGTAATGCCACAGTTGGTGGAGGATGGGGTTCGCAACACCATACGGCTGCAGCATGATGGTGCACCAGTACATTATTCTCAATCGGTGCGAGAATATTTTTACGAGGAATTCGGCCGACGTTGGATCGGTCGTGTAGGCCTCATCGAGTAGCTCCCACGGTCACCCGATTTAAACCCGCTGGATCTTTTACTTTGGAGATATTTGAAATGAAGCGTTTACAGAAACAAGCCGATTTCCCTCCAGCAATTGCAGCAGAATATTGTGAACGAATGCCACGCCACCACCACCGTGACATTGGAGAAACTACTCGCTAACTGCATCAACCGATTTCTGTACTGTAGTCAGAATGCAGGTGGACACTATCAACATCTTCCATGGTATCTATGTCCGTCTAACCCTGCTTCTGTAAATATATCTATCACCGATTGCACATGACTTGAAGGCTAAATCTGTCTCCGGACGAATGGTGCCAATGATGGGTCGGGACGAACTTAATTCTAAGAGCATTGCCTGCTTCTTCAGCAGTCTGTGCCACTCTAAAAGCCGTGATATTTTGGGGGTATCCAGTGCGTAGATTAGAGCCTACTTTTTGGAGCCGTTGGTGCAAATGTTCTCCAATCCACACCGGAGCCAAAAGTGAAGGATTCTTGGGGTCTCCGATACGTCGTTCACAGCCAAATTTGTTATCGGTCATGGAGCTGTTGCGCACCGAGCTTTTTGCTTGTAGCAGAGGCCTCCGTTTAGGTACAGTGCAGCTTAACGACCAGTATCAATGCGTCTAGTCTACGCAACCTCGGTGATCCATATTTTGCTCCGCCATATCTACTTTTGTGCGCTGCTACCCAGATGACCGAGAGACTTGGTCAGGCAGGTAGTTCAACATGGCAGTTGCTAATTTTATTGTACAAGGGATGGACTCATCGTTTTTAACACAGTAGCCCTTCTGTCCGCACACGTGATTTGAGTTGTTTAGAATCAGCTAATCCATTATCAGGTCGCCGCGTACTCAGCGATACCGTCATCTAAACAGTCCCAAAGTTTCCAATCTGTGCTTGTATGATGGAGTGCTCATTCAGGCAACGCATTTAGATGCTTGCTGTTGAGGCCGCTCAATTGCGGTAAGTTCGTGCTTTAATCAAGGATGCCACGTCTGAACTGCGTATTCGACATGGGGGCGAACATGTGCACTGAGCAATTGTTAGAGCATGTAGCAGTAGTCACTCTGATGTGTTGTGGAGAGTACCTTGCATTTGCTTACATCGAACCTACGCAACTTTTCGCTTGGCCATTGCTGTACCATGCCCAGGACATGCTGCAGCATATCCAGTTCGGCCTTCGACAGAATCCTGCGCTATGTCTTGATGTCATCAGCAGACGTTAGAAAACTTGAACCGATTGTCTGTGCCAGGTGGTTGACGAATACCAAAAGCAATTGTTACCCACATACAGAGTCCTGAAGCCTACCATATTCAACATGTATATGTCTGATAACGAGTTTCCAAAGCTAACCACCAGCTGCCGTTTTAGGAGAAACTCGGCTGCGGTTGAGCAGAGACCTAAGGTTTTGCAGGGCAGCTTCCGCGGTAAACGTGACATGGTGTAACAAAAGATGTAAGATCGCTTGGTGCTAAGACCCTCTTAAATGTGGATTCATAATGCGTTCGTGGATGCTGTTTCCATGTTTGACAAAGCTATAGTCCTGGGAAAAACTGCCACAAGGCCGGTGCTATTGTATGCATCTGGGACTTGAGCAGTTGGCGCTGAAAACATCAAACGGTTGGCGGTCTTTGATAACTAGGTCTCACGCAGTATTGCACTCATCTGATGGGAACACAGGATGAGCAATGCTGAGATCCGCCAGTTGGTATTTTGCGAGAAACTCCCCCGTGCTGCACTTCAGTGTCCGTTGAAGCTGAAGCTCTAACATTAGTTAGGTCAGGTACTCCGTACACCAGATATCCGCCTTCCTCGATGAGTCTTATACTCCGTCACTGTATCAAGTTGGGCATCCCACAGGCCAGAACGAAGAAACGACCACATAAACACGGGGAGGTCCAGGGCAAATGACAAATATTTTCCCCCACCATTCAGTGTGCTCGTGCACACATAAACTTGAAATCCCCAGGATACTCCTCTGCAGTACACCGATGGTACAATGGGAGTGGTGTGGCGAAATGTGAGGTCAGCGACGAAGTTGGCTACTCTAACGATGACGAATGGAAGCAAGTACATGTCATCAATAGGACAGATCAATTGTCAGCATGCGATCATGGCCTAAATGCGCTGAATGGAGCGGACGGTGACCGGATTATTAAGTGAACTGTCAGAAGTGGCGAGAGACGAATGTTGTGTCGCGGCCATAATAACGCCACATAATAAGGCCCATAGACTGGGTCGATGGGGCGCACCTACTCTCGGCTGACCCTGCAGCTGCATATCCGGTTGCTGATGGTCATCAGTCATAGAACGCGGCTGAAATTCATTACTGGAGCCGGCTTGCGCCTGATCCACACGTGACAGTTGATTCTGTTGGGAGTCACTAACAGTCGGTGGCGTCCCTGCGTTCGGTCTCTGGTATATAGCCGCACTTTTGTCCTGATTCCGTTACGTTTGTTTTCTACTTGCATTCAACCTTGCCTTCTTGTGGTTGTTAGTCATTATTATTCTGGTGGCATGAGTCATGACAACTGGATCCACCGCACCTCGGTGCTCGGATCATAGTCGTTCAACTGAACTGAACTAAACGGTAGGAATTGACATGCGGGTGGTGAAAGATTAAAAACCGGTGGCAGTGTGGACACTGAGTATCGATGGTCGCGGCAGTAATAGTGCATTGTATTCTGATTGAGTGAATGCACGACGCAGTCAGGTGAATGCAAAAGCAAGCAACTTTTCCGGGAAAAAATAACGTTTTCAGGTGAATAAATATGAATAAATCGGACGGCGTGCGCATCGTGTTGCCCACAACAAGTTCGCGGGGTTCGTATCGCGCGGGTTAAATGAATTTCACGATGAGGATATGAGCCTGCCCGTAATGAGACACAAGTGAGTCGGATGGCTGTCAATGAACTTCCCAGTCTCATTCTCGCCGTGGTAACTTCCTACACACCCCACTATCCAACAAAAAGTCGAATGCGCACACAAAGAACTCTATGCGCATGGGACTGTGGATAACGACTCAAGAACAGACATTTTCCCTTTCTCCGTTTATCATTGGCGGAGATCTAGAGCATGCTGAGAAACTGAGACTGGCCGCGTACTGACTGAAAAGCATCACCAACTGGCCACACCGATTAAACGACAAGCTAAGAATGGTGGACGTTGATATCGAGTAAGCATTCAAAGGACACATCGGTTAGCAGTAACAAGGCACTCGCACTGAAATACCACCAATCCTTTTACTGAGCGCGTAGATAGGCTACATCAACGTGTAAAGTGGTCACTTTATTCAAAAACTTGAAATAATGCTGGAAGCCAATGCGCTTTAAAATATGAAGAACCCACGGACCTCGTTTGAAGCCAGAGCGAATATGTGTGCATAAACCAAGCGATTTCTGACGGAGATGTGAAAGCTGTGTCCAACACAGATAGCACAGAGTAATGTAAAAGGAGCAATAACAGGGAGGGGGTTGGTAACATGCCTAGTTTTCAGGCTTACCTCGGACAAGCTCACTGGCGATATCGGTCCCACTAATTGCGCCGTCTTTCGAGCCAGTGCGTACGGTAAAGGAGAGGGGGCCTCCCCTTCAGATCGGTCAAGAAGCCAGGCTCCTTCGCTCAAAGTGTTCGGCACGGTCGAACTGAACGGTTCACTGGAGAACGAGCTTACACCGTTGGTTTCAACAGGCGATGGAACACCATTGGTGAGAGGAGTATATTCGGTGGAGTGACTGCCCAAAGGTAGGCTGGCCGGAGATACCGAACGAATCGGTGCGGGGGATGTGGGTGAGGTTTGCACTGAACGTGGCACTGGCAATCTACTGGTAGGGTCAACAAGTAAAAGGGGGAGGGAAACAGGTATATTTCGCATAAAAGAAGTACGCTTTCCTCATTTAGTTCATTAAAGTGAGCAAACGAGACAACAATCGAGGCACGCCCTCAGATCGGAGAATAGTGATAACTAGTGAATAAACAGACTGGTAAGTTCAGCTCTAGCAGTGTATGTGACAAGACCACCGGTGCTGATAGTGACGGCTGGAAAAGCCTGGTACCACAAAAGAAAGCCGGTGAACATTTCTCCCGCTGCTGTGTGTCTGCTTGACCAGTTGAAGAGATAAGAACTTATAAAAAACTGCCTGTAACCAACGAAAACAGCTCTGCAAGTACTGATCGATTTTATTCATCATCCAAATACGGTATGCAGAGGCTGAATTGCGAGGCAGAAATTGCCGCCAGCTGTCCTGGTATTGGGACTATTTGAGGCTGACAAATTCCAGTACGACATCAATATGAAAACTGAGGATAAAGCAAGAAAATGAAGAAAAGCTCGCACATTGCGTGAATTCGGGAAGTGTGGTGAAAACATGATGCTAGTCTTCCTTGTCATGGCGCCTCTAACAGGCTACTGCAAGCGCATATTGAAGAATTTATGAAGCTTAGGAGGTTTATTTGAACTTGTTATAGTCGGAGCTTACACCGTAACGAGCGGTCTGACAGAGAATATTCGCCATGCAGATTACCAGTAGCGGGACGAAGTATTCCGTCGATTCAACCAGCTCTGAGTTACGGATCAAGTAGACACTTCGGATTGCAGATGATTCGTGAAAAATTACAACCACAGACAGAAAGATTTGATGCATAGAAGTATCCAAGACATAACTAGTCACACCCAGAGTGAGGGGAAGGCGCGGTCGGTACTTGTTAGGAAAACGAGCGAGGAACCACGTATAAGAATGTACAAAAATGCATGCACGCTAGTGGACCACTGCCTATATCGGGCACGTCAAAGTGGCGGCATTTTGGAAACACATCTGCGACCTATACAAAGTATACTGAGAGCATTATATACATATATATATATATATATAGCAAAAAGACCGAGTTGGTGTTGTATGCGGCCATCAAGGGGTCTTCAGGTAGACATGATTAGCTTAAATCACATACAAATTGGCACTAGTCATCGGTACGGTTGGATCTAAGGAAAATTGGGAAGAAAGTCAATTTACAGATATCAACTTGGTACTGCCAGGGAGCGATTGATAGAGTAAGGTGGAGGGTAAGGCTGTTAGATTATAAATCCCTAAACTACAGATCTGATTTTGCCATAATCGTAGGATGGGGATCTTGATTTGAGTAGTTACTCTGCAGCAGGATCGCGAAGACAAGTAGCCAGCGTAACCGGGATAGAAACATCATCTCGTGTGAGCTTTGCACGGTCACTTTATAGATGGCTATGCTGTTCGTACTTGGATTCAGTGGCGAAAAATTTTGTAAACCGAAATTATTACTGTCACATTACTCTTAGCTCTGCGGCTAACATGTATCCTCACACGCAAGGCTGAAATCATATAGGGCGCGGTGATCCCCATGTAAGCCACTTGAGATCCTGAATTACTGTAAAGTGATTAAACAAATCAATAGAACGCTGTGAAGTGGTGTTGGGTAAACGGATATAGAGTGTCGTCCGCCACATTGAGAAATGTGCTACATCAGGCGGTTTGTGTCAGTTATGACGAGAGTTAGCCTTCATGCTCCTGTGATAGTGATAATTCACCAAAGCAGAATAATTTTCATGCGTTGCACAAATCACTCCAGCGGTGCTTTCCAATCAGAATGGCTCCCCTGAATAGGTTAGTAATGCACCCTGTTAAACCGTTGTGCTCGGGGAAGATTTTGTCATGGGCACGATTGCTCCATTATCCAGCTTTCACTGTCAAAATGAAGCAATTGTCGCGAGAAATACACCGGCAACAATGTCAGGAGAAAAACGCGATCGATCAGTGGACTGGGGTGTTAGTCAATAAAGAAAACTTATCAAGAAAGTCAGTTTTCAGGGACAAAATGGCCACATATTGCCATCAAACCGCCGGATTACGAATAAGAGTATATTATCTCCACCAACTCGCAGCTATGAAGCGCAACATTATCGTGCTACAGTTCAAGGTGTGAATGCTGTTCAAATTCAAGACATAAGTCGCAAGGATGCGGCATCAAAGTGCCCTTCGACACGGCCAAAGGTCAGCCGATGGACGTATCGGAAGTTTGCGTTGAGTTGGCTCTGCTGGCGCGATTTTGAGACACAGAAACAATGATGCGGGCGCTGCCATATATCAGCTTTTAAAACATCACCTACCGTGAAGGGGCGGGATTGGGTGAATAGGAACTCATTGGCGGGGTCGCAGGTGGGTACATTTCGGACCCTGGAAGCGAGGGATACGGAGTCGGAATATCATGACATGGAGGACGATGGTCATCGCTGTACCGTCCTGTGCCGGGCACATGATCCTCAGGGATGGGTGTGATCGCGGAAGCGCGTGACTTGTCGAGTAAAGAAAGGAAACCAGGGAAAAGGTTTATATTTACAAAAATGTGGGTATAACGAAAGAGTGGTATTGAACATCTGAGGTAGATCGCTAACATTTACTCTCGACTGGTGGTTTGTTATACAATCGTAAACTCAACGCTGCTCGTTCATATCCCAGAGGCCCAATACTGCAACGGATGCGCAGATCCAATTTTGAGTGGTTACACCTGGATGGCTTTCTGCCTTCTGGCACAGACTCCTCGATGGCACTTGCCACTTGGAAGATCAGACTGAGATAGAAGAATGTATCAATCATGCGCACAATCCTGACCTTTCCACTTAACCGTTCCGACGATAGGACTAACATGGAAATAAACAGTTCTTTTGAGATGAAGAGAACCCGTCCAATGCCACGCTCCAATTGACCACTCAGAAGCAAGCGGTTAGATCAAGGAAAGCACATCTATGAACAAGGTCACGCTACCGCACACAGGCTTCTATCAAAATATCATTCTTCCTACTTATCTTCCCAAGTACGAATTAATTGTTTGCCCTGTATTTGGGCCTCCGGCACGTAGCCTTAAGGATCACAAGCTTGCCTGCGTAGGGACCAGGGGACCCTTTCAGTATCCTTAGCGCACGCGCGACTGATGGTAGCTGCGCGGCAGTGAGGCACCGGCACTGTGTATTAGCGTACTGCTGATGTCTTTATTTTTTGTATTTGGGCCTACCGTGTCAAAAATACTACCAAACTTGGTCGATCCGTTTGTATGGCAATACCGTCAACCACCGTCTTTTCCTTGAATAATCTGATGAAATAAAGGGTAGTGAATGGCTCCAATGCCAAAACACGGTATAGTTGCGACATTTATTGTGTGCAAAATGAAAGAAGGGTGTCCAAAGAAATGTCAAGTTCTGTGGCTGCTCTCAGGATCCGGGTACCAAGCGAAAGATATGTAACGAACGTACAACAAGTAGTGCGACAAGAGATCACCAAAACAAAATGGGACCACAGCTAAGGGAAAACGAATTACTTGAGCGTTGAAAGCTAAAAAAATAATTAGCTAAAAATGCTGTTAGATGAGAAAAGATCCAAGATCGAGTTTATAAAGCTATGCATAATCGCTTCATAATTTCACTTTCATTCTATGTGGCTACGTCTACAGTTATGAGTGCGCTTTCAGGAATGCACCGTGTAATCAATAATATACACAAACTTGACGGAAGCCTTACCGAGTGTCCCACTCCCACGTCGAATATGGTTGGCTGGGCGCGAGTTGGGCTTGAGCTGACCAGACTATGAGTTAGGGGCTGATCTAAGCCGCTCCGATCGACAGATAATCGCTCGGGAGACGAGAATGGAGTAGGTAGGCGAACTGGTGGATGCTCAGGGCTGGATGCTGGCGAACAGGGTAGCATTGGCGCAATGTGCTCCAACAGAGCCTCCTCAACGAGTTCACGGAGATGAGAATGTGAAGGTATTGCTGCGCGTAAGTTGATGAAACGAAACGAAATGGAGCAGCTCGTAGGTAACTGTGGTTAGCAAACAGGAAAAATGATCTGGCTTACGGTATGGTGGGCGAGCCGCAGCAGTCGTTTGGTTTTGCTGGGCCATCTGTCCAGCTAGTTGTAACAACAGACGGGAAAATATCTCACCCTCCGCATCAGGGCGATGTGGGGCTGGAAATGCCCCAGTGGTCAGGACATTGTGTGAAAAATCAGACTGTTTTTCGTACTGCATTCCAGAGCCTCTTTCAAAAAGATGAGCCGCGCCCAGCGTTGGGACTTCGCTCAATCCCGCCTGAAGAATACAACATAGTGATTAAGAAGCTGATCTCATGGTAAGCATGCTGGGAAACAAGTGACAAGAAACAGGAACAGAAAACGAAAAATGGAAACCAACTACATATGTTGGTTCTTCATAGCTCATTCGAGCAGAAGTGACAAGCAGAAAGTCCGAGCTTACTGGTTCAGAAAGAAGCGGGTGCTTCAGTTCAGTCTGAACTGACCTCGATGATAAGACGTGCGAAGGGGAGCCGGCGATTTCAACCATCTGAATGAGGATGTAGAGCTTGAGATCAAGGAGGTGAGATAACTTGTTGGTTGAACAGGTAGTTCTACAACGAACGTACCTACTGCGGAATAAAATAATTTTGAACTCTTTTCCGCTTAAAAGAACAAAACCGTTGCAGCAGGCAGCGTCTCCATATTCGGAGCCGAAAGTGATACACAGAGGAGGGGAGATCACGTCAGTTCCCTCAACTGTGTGGATTCGTTAGATAGGAGAGATGGACAATGGGAAAACCGGTAGATTGAAATTCCGGAGCTTTGGAAGTTGACCCAGGCTAGATCGTTCATGAACAGTCCTATTGCACAAGGAAAACATTCGGCTTCCCCGGATTAGTGATAAAAAGCGGTAATCGCACGTAATAAACATATCACGATATGACCAGCAACATGGTAGTAGAAGCTTTATCTCCGGTGGTCAGTTGGGTCTCCTCTACCACCGTGACGTGTGCAGCAGTGGCGTAGAAGTCAAGCTACATCAATCAGAACTATATGCACCGCCAGCTGCTGTCACCTTAAATGACCCAGAGGTAGTAACGGCTGCTTTGTAAAGGAAGAATCACCGACCGGACAGTGAGGATTGTCGCAGAGGTCGCGCGCAAAACGTGACAGAAAAACCAAACACGGTAGTTTCCATTGGTGCACGAAATTTGCATGTTTGTCAACTTAACAATCAAGTATATTGTGTTGTAATTGGTAAGAGGACAGTCCTGTCTCCAATAAAATTGTAACGGTCTTTTTTAACCATTCTGTCGGGATTTTCCGAACCATCCTAATTGCTACATCCGACTTCATCCGTCCTCTAAAGTCAGCACTGCTGTTTTGCGCTTATCGACCTGTCAGCATGATTGCCAAAGCTCCTACCTCTGCAAGACGAACTAGTTGGAGAAAAAGGTTAGAATGAGTACCACTGCTATACCTACGACAACAAAAACCTCAAAACTTTAGAATACAAGTGACAGATCGCGTATCTGAAACGCACAACAAAATGCCAATCATGGAGACCGAATTGAAGGACCTTAAATGTCAAACCGATCTACAGGCCATTGACTCCATGAACTCATGTGTTGGACGCGCCGAAAACAGTGCACTTCACGTGAAAGGATTACACGGTTTGGAAATGTTGGATTCATAACTATACTTGACAGGTACCCAGAGGATGAACTGAAGAGCACACTTTTTAGTTGTTGTGGAGTTCTCCGAGCTGGGCAAATTGGTTTCAAACGTTTCACCACCATTCGAGGTGGCATCTTCAGTGCGGGATTGATAGCAGTAAAGTAGCAGTAGCTGGTAGAAAGCAAACCCAATAATGGATCATCATCCATTATTGGGTTTGCTTTCTACCAGCTACTGCTACTTTACTGCTATCAATCCCGCACTGAAGATGCCACCTCGAATGGTGGCGAAACGTTTGCAACCAAGTTGCCCAGCTCGGAGAACTCCACAACAACTGAACAAGCCTCCCGAGCTACCAATATTCCAAATCATTTCGAACACCAACGGGCGCTCAACGCTCCGCACTGCTCGTCGTTGGGAGGATTTCGCTTGCCGAAATGCTTCCACACGGCAACAGCACACTTTTTAGTCGCTTCCCTGAGTGACAGAGTATGCATAGCCATGTGTCCTAGCAATAAGATACGGAAACTGAATTGACTTATATTGCCAAAATTTGACAAATCAGAAGCAGCAGATCATTCAACGACAATCGTTCAATGATTACAGCTACAACAGAGTTTAAAAGCGCTGGGATTAGAGAGAATAGAGTCCCACCAGAAAGAGAAACGCAGCTAAGCGCGATGTCTCACCCAGCTACCAATCCTTGAGGTCTAGAAAACCATCCTTGACAGCAAACAATTTTAACGAGATCGGTGCCCATAACCTTGACCCTGACGCCTTGGATGAATACGTCAAGGACTAAAGTTGTTGTACCGTACGTGGACATTACTATGAACAAAGCCATCCTTTGAAATGTCTCAAGGACAATCAAACCAACACAATATAAACCCCAGACTGCGAAGGAATAATTTACTTTACTCCATGAAATCGACTCGAAATAAAAAAACAAAACATAGTAGGATTAATGCTTGACCTAGAAAGGTCTTCCTACGAAGTAGATGATATTCTAGACAGACTTAGAATTCATCTATCTATGCAAGGTAGCGTAGTTTCAAATGAAAGGCTGTAACCATCCTCTGTGAATTGTTCTAACCCTATCAGATGCATCTGACTACAAAGTATCTCATTCAGCGGAACAGCCTTTAGCTCACAACAAAAGGGCACAGTACTCCGTCCACAACCTCAGGTAAACTGTGAAACCACAACCAATCCATACGGTTCCACGCACAAGTCATAAGTTCAAACCTCAGCACCAAATATTTTAGGCAACAGCTGAAAGCAGCCCCGATGACTTTAATTCTCGCCATGACTCACCCAGAGGGCCATCGCCTCATGAATCAGCTTCTTCACCTAGCTTAGCCGGCCCGTGGCGTTAAGAATCGCAAACCTGCCTTGTCATCCTGAGCTCGCAGGTTCGAGACTGCGTAGGTGACCGGGGGACCCTCGCAGTGTCCTTAGCCAACGTGCGACTGGTAGTGGTTGCGTGACAGCGAAGCGTCAGTACTCCGTACCGGCGTATTGCTGATACCTTTATTCCTTTATAACAAAACTTTGCGGCACATTAGCTGAGGTGTGTTTCTCACTCACGGCTAACGTGCATTTATGATGATGATTTCAACCTAGCCTAACTATACCATACAATGGTCTCAGTATTCCTCAGTCACCACCACTATGGTCAACTGAATGAAAACCAGCGTAGCAGAACCCCTTAGCTTCCATGAAACATTAAACTTGCCTTATGAGTGGGGCCATATTGGAGTACTTCTTGTAGATGCTCACACTTTGAATAATAAAATGCACAGCTTACATCATCGCGCTGCTCTCACTGAAACATTATACCGGGCACATTAACCTCTACTGACTACCAAGATGAGGGCTACACATTCCTTGGTAATTAGCCACCGCGTAGTCAAAGGTGGGGAATGCGCAACTTGTGATTGTAAACAGCTACTCACCCATTCCATATTAGATCCACAACTAAACATTGTTACCGAATCTGTCAGGGTTCCTGTGGAGGTGAACAGTAGCAACTTCGTGGTAGGATGTCTATAACCCGCCGCACCATAACGTACATCCTTTAAAACCTCTACTCTGCTTTTCAATACGTTTCCAATCGGACTTTCAGTCAAAATCTCATTGGGCGTGACTTTGACATATCAAACATCTTGCATACACTGCTCCGCTCCTCCCAGGTTTATGTACCTCATCTCAGGAATCCAGCTGATGAAATGGACCCAAGCAGTCCAAAAATCAACTAGATGCAGTAATATACTGGATTTACTAGTTAGTTGCGACATCTATAATACCTCTGTAAATGTTTTGTCTACCTCTCCAGGCAGGGATGATAATATGGCATGTCAGTTTCGCGTTATCAACACAAGTCCCAATCCTCAACCCTCAGCCCCTAGTGGGGCAAACATTGCAGTATCTGAACAACATTTCAGCATATATCCATTCAGGCTATGCAGTGGTAATTCTACTTCTGGACATACACAAGGCGCTTCCCAAGCGGTTGCTACAGAGGTTAGAGGTCGTTAAGGTCCTGGATCTTAGTGGTCGCCACCAGGTAGTAACTAGTGCGGTCATCCAAGGGAGCGTGCTCGGTCCTTCACTTTTCCTGCTGTACATCAATGATAAGACCACATACGCAAAACATAGACCGCCATTTTACTCATCGATGACGCCAAGGTCGTCTATAAGCTTCGGCGTGACGAACTTCGCAGAACGCTTCTCCTCATTCAAGATGACTTATCATGCTAGGCATGGTGCCACACGTGGATGATGAACCTCTTAGCTAAGAAATTAAGCATAATGCCTTACGGCTGCTCCATCCCCGAAAGATCTATTGTAATGAACAAGGAACATGTCACTAAAGCCATTAAACATGAGATATAATGCCATTTCGTCGATGATATTAAGATACTTCTCGTACACTTTAATCCTAGAAGTTCGCAAGACATCTTATTGACTCTCGAAGCACGGTGCCGTAGCGACAAATGACGTTCGCGTCTGTGAAAAATTAATCCTGTTTCATAACGAACTACATGACTTAGGCATTCATTACCCAAGCACGCTCAATTTCAGCGAGTAGATGGAACTCATAGCAGCCAAAGCCTACCAAACAACCAGGTTAATGTTCAAATCATTCGGACTAATGACCCCATCTTCATATATTCAAGGTTTGCGTACGCGCTACGATAGTGATGTCCGATGATATTTTCCATTGGTAGGAAATCCAATGATACACACTTGGTGAACATACTATGTTGATTCACCAATGTCTTATTGAGAGAATCACCAACATTCAACTATTTGGAGCGCTGTGTAGCATTTAAATTAGAGCCACTGTGGCTACGGAGAGTGAAACTGGGCCTGAAGTTTCTGTTCAACGTAGTGCACAACCGCATACTTGTTCTGCATAGTATCAACAGGAATAAGAGGAATAAGTTTCCTATATGCAGTTAAGATCGGCATTTGCAGAAAATTGCTACCTGATCGGGTGCTCGGACATCTGGCCTGCTGAAATACGATTTTGTGAGTGCAAACAATCATTCGGAATGATAGTGGATCAGTAGTGCCTCCTAGCACTGCAAGTTGACACACTGATGAAACTAGACTGCAGAATAGAAACAATGTGCATGAAGTATTAACACTTAGAGATATCACTGATAGATCTGTTGAACTCGGACTATCCGAAAATCAGACGGGCAATTCCCTGAGAAAGAAAACGCCAACCTGAGTTCTGAAAAGAAAGTCGACGGTTCGCTTTAGACTCTACTAATTGCAAGGTTACTTTATCTTTTGACCGGCCACGCCAATCTAACGGTTTCTACCTACAAATGAGTTCTGAAAGGAAAACCAACTGGTTCTCTTTGCTTCATCTTTCGCCCGACCAAGCTGAGGCCGAGACTCCGCCCACAAGTGGGTCCTAAATGAAAACTCCAGCTAAGTCCGTTTAACACTTATTCAAGCTCGGCAAAAGCACAACTTGTTTCCCTCCGAAGGATATGAATCAAAGGAATGAATCACGGAATTCGCCTTAACGCTCCTTAGATCACTGGTAATTTCTCTGGAAACTCGACAACGTGATCCTTAATCTCTCCACTATTAGATGCGGAGTGGGAAGGTTAAGTGCATTCAGTGTGGTACACACCGCATCCTGATCCCGGTTTTTTTCAACTTGCTAAAATAGTTTAAAGAAAAATCTACAGGCTAAAGAGACTTGTATAAGGATGTCAGTTCGAGTATTTTCTTTGTTCCTCTCTCATCCAAGTGCCGTTACTTAGCTTATTGGTTTTAAGTTAGGCACTAATAATTTGCGTGAGCATTTATATTTCTATAGTTTGCTTTAAGTCCGAAACTGCACTGCATTTCTAGTCTCCTTTGGTTGATGCTTTCAATTTCCTTCCATTTCATGATCACACATTTATACATTGGAATGGCCTTGCCGAGTGTACCTGGAGACCATGGAAGTCGAAAATGAACACCGTGCTAAAAGATTTGTGTAAAAATCGCATCCTCTTTATCCTCGTGTGTCCCACAACACTGGACATTTTCAATCACATGAGTATGCTGTGCGCCTCGTAGATACGGTTTCGTACCAAGAAAAATACGCAATTTATTTATGCACTTGCTTAAAGGGACGAAGGTGCAGTTTAATGCCCTTTCGGTTGTGTAATGGATTCTGACTACGAGAAACTGTAGTAAAATTGAACGCTTTCCTCTACGGTGCTCAGAATCAGCTAAAGTGTAGCAATTGGTCTGCAAGTGGGAAAAAGAATGAGGATGAGCACAAAAACCGCATTTTTAAGAACTCCTAACTCGATTTTCGGGTTTTGGAGTACCTACAGTGTGGCTTGGATTGCGACACGCAGTCTCAATTGTGGCTTCGGTTGACGTTGAAGTCAACCTCTGTCAATACGATTACTGGAACCGTCACCGGAGTGGAGGGTTTCGGTGTGGCTCTCTCCGCTTGACTTCAAAGTCAACTGAGAGCACAACTGAGATTGCGTGTCGCAATACAAGACACACGGCGGGTGCTCCAAAACCCGTAAATCAACTTCCTAACCGCTGTGTCAAGCACTGCTCGCGGACCTCCATGGTCTAGTGATCATGACGATAGCCGCCAAGCAATACGCGCCGAGTTCCACTCCCAGCTCGGCTATCTATACCTGATGAGTCCAAACCAGGACGAAACTGTCGGTCGTGGAGTGCAGGGATGGAAGAGAGCCACACCGAAACCACCCGACTTCTAACTCGTTTATACTTGGTACCAGATTGATAATCCATGACACACCAGAAAGAGAGAGAAGTGCGAGCTCGACCATCAAACAGTATAAAAAAAAGTTGGGTCAAAATCCAGACGTGCGCGTGAAACAGTCTATCGAGAATGTGTATGAATAGCCGCTGAGTTCGTTGGTGTCCACTGCTCCACAAACCTGGGATGAATCAAACCCTGTAAACGGTGGCAAAACGATTGAACTCGGAAGGGATGGGGGTAGAAAGGGGCAGTATTCAGGGGGTGGAGCAGCATGCCTCTAAGAAAAAGTAGCTCAGCCGGAGTTAATTAACCAATGTATATTTCGAGGTGGAAAGAAACAATCACTATTAGAAAAAGCGAAGGTCAAAATCTTAGCTAAAGCATGGATTTTACTCCGATTTCATACATGTATACTTTGGGGTTAAATGACAAGATGCTTCCCTAACTGGGCCAGAGACAGGTATGAAAGTGAGAAACTTGTATTAGTAAGGAAAAGTTGTCCGCAAGTGTAAACCGGGTGCAGCGTCTTTCTAAAAAGAATATATCGAGGCACAAGTGATATACAGGAAAAACGCACCTTATCACTGGTTTCCAAAGCATGGGTCGAGATGTCGTGGGTGATCGCGGTGGGTTTCGTAAGCGGAGTTGTCTGTGAAAGAGAAAATAGATGGCGGTGAAGCACAAAGTATGGTGATGAGGGACCAGAGTACTGTGTCAAATGGACGATGAGAATGCACTATTAGTTGAAACATTCCGGGCACTCGATAAGCCATGACGAGCAGCACAGGGAGAGATGGACGACGCTGTGCATCCGAGAAGGATGGACAGTGGAGGCTATTAGGAGCCAGTATAATAGGCGTCGCCACTCTCATCAGTGACATGGGACTAGTTCAGAACCAATCGTTTTGCCTTGCGGAACATGGGAGTCTGATGACAACTATACTTCTTTTCTAGCTGGCATCTGTCTGTTTTTAGAATAAGCCTGCAAATATCCAGTAGTTGAACGGTGATCAAGTGTCTCATCGCATATGGTAGTAGCAACACTGAAGGAGATCTTCGGAAGTGGAGGAACGTAAAATGAAGTGTACAGCCTAGGTCCCAGTGCTTAAAAGTGAGTCGAAGACCAATAGTAGGCTCAGGAATTGTGTACTCAACAAGGCCGTGCCCAGTTCCCCCACTTATGGTCCTTCACGCTGCAGTACACGGGCTGTTGGCTCAGATTGGGGACAACTTGAATTAATTAGAACGAAACGTTCGATGTGTGTACGTTGAAACGTACGGAACAATCCCATTTTGGTGCAAATGGCAAGGGGCTAGACTCCACCGGAAGATGCATATCGTTTCAGGAAACAGACATAGAGAACAGCACAGACAGATTGTCGCGATGAATATGTCAATGTTACGCATAGACAACTAGGCGATCCCCATAAGACACAGATCACAACAACCGCAGGTAAAGCGTTTTCGCATAAATACCACAGTGAAACAGCGGGTGCATTCCGCAGTGGAACAAGCGGTGCGAAGTGCGAGCATCGAGCCACTGGAAGTGATTTCAGCAATCCTAGGTTTGGAGTGAGCTGTACTTTAAACTGTATTCTGTGTTGGTCGGTCCGAATTCTGGCCGATGGCTAACCGCTACGTAGGCGGATCGCTATCATCACGTTGAAACAAACCAAAGATACAGTCGCATTCAGCACCGTGGTGACTAGCTAAACTATAGCCTTTTAATTATAGAGCCGGGCATACACACATCGAGCGTTCTGCGGAAATAACCGCGATCGGGCTAAGATGTATCGAAGCTGTAATTCCGTCATAGTTAAGCACACATATACATTAGCGGCCCTGCATCAGTGTGGATTGAGTATGATAGCTAAGAGTGTGCAGTAAATATCATAAGACAAATCTGTTCGACACTGGATGCGTCTAAATGCTTTAGACAGTTCCGCTGAACATTTTTAGTGGAAGTGTCCGCAACAGCTCAATCCCAAAAGCACACAGATGCGAGAATAGTAGGAGAATTCAAACACAAGCACCTGGGTCATTGCAGTGATCTTGTTTGGTTCAGCGGGTTGACCAGAGTACTGTCGCTGTCCCAACAACATAATTCTGACAGGGGAAGTCCCCACCGGTCCAGCAGAATGAGGTATTCGAACCTGCTGTCCGGTCACACCCGCGTTGTCCATGTGAAAGCGTACTATTTTCGTTAAGGGGGCGGACGAAGAACGAGGCGGTTGGATGCCAGGCGCATCATCTGAACCAGACGGAGGGGAGGGAGAGAAAAGACTGGGTTTCAGAAAAGGAGCAAGTTTAGACGAGTAAACGTGACAGTTCAGCTTTGCACATGCAAGGTGCGTTCGGTTGGCACATCACCACAAACGATCAACATAAATGGCATACTGGGCCGTGTGTCACAGTGGTATCCATAATAGATTTGCGCCTACATTGGTTATGCATTGTGTTTCAATCGACGAATTCACCCACCAATATTCTGTATTGATAAAAACAACAAACATTCACAGCATGTTTCATTAACTTTGAGTGTAATTAGCCCGCAAAGCTTGTATAAACTATTCGCTGCGTTTGCAGAAATGATGCGGTATTTGAGAGAGCCAACGTCGTCATCACCAACAATACTTTGTACAAGTGATTCACCGTCATGCAGTCGGGATGATCTGCGGGATCAGTACCAATAAGAAGGGGATGAGGGACCTAGTGTAAGAGTAAAATGTCCGAAACAAATATTCAACACCTCGGTACGCACGGTGTCAGCAACACACGGTCACAAACAGCTACATATCGCGACAAGATAAGGCGGTGTAGGTGGTGGATGATAATCGGCACAAAATTGGAGATTGCCCATGTCTACGGGCTAATGTTGTACTTATCGACCTCAGTTTGTCGATTCGTTCCACGCGGTCGGCATCACTGATGGCGACAGGTACAAGGTAGAGTTCTTGACGGTCAGTAAATCCGATTTGATAAAGGAGTTCACAGGGGGTATTCTCGGACTGACCCGGAGTACAGTGTTGTGAGCAGGAAACACCTAACCAGCATCTGCTTCAGATAAGGTCCCTGCAACCGAATTGAGAACAAAGTTCACTTCAGTGAACCGCGGTCCTGATTGAGAATGCGCGTCAAATCCATCTACATGAGTGTCTAGCAATGACCTCCACTTACGTATGTGGTAGAGTTCACTCTTGATTACAAGCCTTACGATATCTGGGGAAGGTTGACGAGGGAGGCGGTTTATCTCTAGCTCGGCGAGTGTTTATCGAAAGGACACCCATCGGTAGCTTAACCTCTTGCGTGAATAAGCGAGGACAAATGTGAATGGGTTTCCTGAGCCATTGATAACCCGGGGGTAGTTGCAAATCCGTTTTCCAAGCTTTCTTCACAAAACCGTTGTCCAGGACGGGTTGACCAGATACAAAGACGGGAGCTAAATCAATGTCATGGGTAAAGGCAACGGAAGGATCGCAGATAGCCTAATTGGTTTCGGAGTGGGGATTCGATGAGTAACGTTATGTTGCGAGATTTCCGAAGAGGAATCATGGTGGAAGGCTATGGAATACCAAGGCCAAAGTCTTCCATAGCAGCGTGAATGTAGGCCACCAGCCTATCCTTGGGTAGTCGCACAACTCATTTATCCATATTTTTAATGTGTAACGATGTACCACTGAAAGGAAGAGACTGTGAATGTGACGAGATAAAAAGAAGCTACGATGTGCTTTTAAATGTCGATATAGCTTCATGAGAACGCTGACAGTTTCCTGCAGTTTGGAGCGGATTTGATCCAGAGAAGCAGGTGGCGATTTGCCGTCCAAATTGAACGGAAGGCCGCGAAAGTGAAGGAATTTCCAGATTGCATCAGTGATATAGCGAATGAACAGCAGGGGAGTGGGGAGGTGTGAAACATGGTTAATTGTCATAAACAATAATCAGATCGGTGAGTTTCAACTGGTTAATTGCTGGGACAATGGGACGAAAGTTTTCATGAAGAGGTCATAGATGATCTACCATAGCTACCTAGTGCCGGGTAACGATAATGTCGTCAGAATATGACATATATCTTCCGAGATAAGGATAAATTAGCATACCAATTACTAAGTTAGCTCAGACGATGATCATCATCATCATCATACCACACGCTAGCTGGGAGTGAGATGAGTGAGTGAGCTGTTTTGCCGCAACAAGAAAGAGCGAACTACTAAACACTACATCACACAAAATAGAAACAAGTGCTACTATGCTTCGTTTCATATTATGGATCGAGAGTGAGATCGTGGTCGAAGTGGGATGGACGAAGAGAATCACAACACAAACGCCACTAAGGTCCGCTCCTGGCCATGTCAAAAAGTGTATCCAACCAAACGTGATCTTCGTTACTGGGACCAGTGGAGGCCAAGTTAGAAGTAAGAGCTTTCATTCCTTTTGACTAACTCATCAGTTGCCCTCCCCTCCTCTTTTACAATCCAGAACGCGATTGCGCAAACGCGCTTCGCGAGATTCGGTGTGTCGGCATGCGCCACACGTGACCCAGTCATCGGAACCTGGTGAGTGAAATAATGGCGACGACCGGTTCACTTCCTCTTCCGGCATCAAATACAAGACGTCTATTAGTCACGCGGTGTTCCCACAAGACATGAACTAAACTGCGAAAGCAGCGTGGTCATAAGTAACTCGCCTCTCGATATCCCTCGATCTGATGGGCCAGGTTTCGCAACTGTGCAGGATGATTGAACGGACGGCTGCATTATAGTCTCTACCTTTTATGACGAGAGTAATCTCCTCCTGGCACCATAAGTGGCGAAGTTCAGCAAAAGCACCTTGAACTTTGCTATGCGGTTAGTGACCTTATCTGCTATTCTACAGCCATTAACATATCTGTCTGGGTACAGAAATTTCTGGACGACTTGTAGTTGATCATCGCTAAGAGCCGGCGCAGGGGTTGATCCCTGTAGATCATGGAGGTAGGTTGTATTTGGATGCAAAGCACAGTCTGAAACAATCGATAAGCAGTGCTAATTTGTCCAGCAAGATGCTGATCAACAAGGTTGCATCAAGTGCGATTCGGGGCACTTCTTTAATCATCACAATATCCATGTAACTCGCATTACTCCGTTCCACCGTGTCATCTCTACTCCCGAGAAACCGAGCAGGAAAAACATCAAGTATCGGATAGTGCAATCTTCCATCGGTTCATCCACAAACATATCAAGCTTTTGTAGAGATTCGAACTTCAGAGACCATAGCATTTCGCGCTGAAGACATTAGGAGATCGGTCATATTTGACTACCGCTACGTGCGGAGTATTCCCGCATCTGGTGGGAACACTGGGAGAGCAATAGTGAGAGCTACCAGCTGGCGTTTTGAAAAACCCACTGGTATTGCACCGGAGTGCTCGTTAAACTTGAACTAGTATTGGCTAACCAATGTCCTCTGAATACCTTGATAACCGTCATCCTCGACGTGCATTTTGTGCCGTCGATGTATCAAGCTGCGCGAAACCGCAAGCTGGCCAGTAGATGAGGTGGCACACAGACGTGAAGAAATAAACTGGGAGACTTGATTAAGCTAGTGCGTACGGTCTTCGTGAATAAGGGCCTCGGGATGGTCCACACCTGTGGTACAGTCGCGCAGACAGTGACGCCCCTGCATTCGATCGCTTGCATTCAGCTGCTGATATAGCAACCCGATGAGTTTTACGCACTCCTTTTTTAACTCTCTGTTCATTATATTCTGCCTGCTTTATGCCTAAATTTCCTCATCATTTTTACTTGTTGTTCTAAAGAGACGCGGGTCCTGACAACTGGATCCGCTGCACATCGGTGCCCGGATCATGGTTGTATAAGTGAACAAGAGTGAATGTGAGCCCTTAAGAAAGTTCGGCACTGCTGCTCCTGACACCCAAGACCGTTGTGTCATATGGGGAAGTCAAGTAAGCACACGTAAACGGAGCTGTCGAGCCTCTTCAAAGGAAACCAAGCTCACTGACAACTCCAAGAAATGTGTATGGTTGGAAATGTTTTGCTAATTCCGTTTTTACATTGCTATTCAACGAAGCTTCATACATTATTTGCTTGCATTCGACGAACGTTTGGCGTGTATTGGGTTAGTTAGACAATCCGCAAAAGACTAATCCCAAGAACGAGAGAATAAAGAAGTAAATGCATTTTACATGCAGTCGAATAAATGATTCAATTGTGAGCAGGATGTAAATCTCTATCGGGCTTCAACATCGGCCCTTCCTGACTGAGATGCAAAAATTCGCATTAGTAAAAACTGGACGGTTAATGTGTTCAGAAGATATATGAATATATATATATATATATATATATATATATATATATATATATATATATGACAAAACAAGAGACATTTGTATTAGTGTATGTAGCTTCTAGCGAAATCGAGGAATGTACTACTTATTTATCAATTAAGTTAATCGGTAATGGTTGTGGTGCAAGACCACCGAGATGACACGGGCTAATAAAGAGCCTCGGTAGTCGCGTGCCCGCCACGGATGATGTAGCAGCCAAGGTAGGCGAACTGATCAACCATGTCCAGTCCCTCGTCATCAAGAACCAAGGGGTTATCAAGTGGCTGGTGGTCTTAGAAAGGAACATCGCAAATACCGAATGATAGAACCATTCTTCAGGGTTCATTCAAAGTCGACCGTGCCCTCCCAAGGTTGCACAACAGCAATGTGATATTCTCTATGTAATCCATACTTAGCAGTTTTCCTCAAAGTAGAGCTTCAATGCCGCCGTTATGAGATTCCGCAAGGAAATACTCCATATTTGAGTCCCCAATAAATGCAACAAAAATAGAATAATCCAGAGGAATGCTACTTGTTTCCAGGATTGAGTTGGACAATTTGCCATGTACTCACATGCGACTGCACTCCAGTGTACCGCACGTAAAGAGTTCACATACTCGATGGGACGAACTCCAGAGCAAGTAGGTCGAACAGAAAGTAACGAGTTACTGAGTCGAATGCGTCTCTAAAGCCTAGCAACGCTGCTATAATCTGTTGGCTCTGCTTGTGAAGCTTCTGTAACATATGTTGTAGAATAGAAACGATCCGAACAATCCCGTCCAGGACGGAAATCGGCCTGCTCTTCCACTGCCCCGGACTCCCGTCCCGCAGGTGCGTATGCGGGCGGGTTAGTAACTTGTCGCTAGCGGCCTTTGGATGATATCCCCATGCCATTATGATCGAACCATCCCGCATGACCAGGCTTGTTCTTCATGAATCTGTTCGAACAAGCGGGCGAATATTTGGCAGACGAACCACCACGATCCTTAAATAGTGCGGGCGCAAAGGGATCCGGACAGGCAGCATGAAACCGATTACGGACTGTAGTAGTGTTTCAGACCTGGGTCTCCAATGGATCCTCCAAACCTACAGGTTATGGTTTGATCTGTTTTACCTGAGCACTTAAGGAGGTCCAAGAGTAGGGTTCAACTTAACTGTTCCCGAACGTGCTCTGGTCAAAGGGACAGACGGTGACGCTCAATGTGAATCACCTTGTCGGTGCTGTCCCTGATTGCCCCCCTGATGCGTAGATTCTAGGGACCAGTGGTGAGATCAGTTGCAAGAATATGTGTTGATTGCTCGCCGCCCTTCTCTCTTCCACTTCATGAGCTCTTTATGCCTGTCAAGATTCTTTACCAGCTCATAGACACCTTACTACCTCAAGGTTCGTCAGATTGCGCTCGGTAGTCGCATTGGATTTCAGTTTAGTTTGCAGCAAGTTGATCAGCACTTCTGATCTCCCATGTCTGGCCTGATGACAAACTAGGGTGTATTATGTGTGGACTCCCGCGTCATACGTGGCAGCACAAGTATTATATTGCGGAATTTCAATGCTTCAGAGTAATTGGGTTGTAGTAGATTTATCTGAGCGAGGACTGAGGCTGTTCCTCAGTTGTCAATCGAAGGTACCGAATAATTGATAGTGTTAAAGAAGGGCAAGAGCGGAGGTGTAAAACGGAACCGCATCACCTGAAAACAGGTATGTCAAATACTCAGTTTCCGCATTCTCAGAAAGCATATTAGATGGCCCAAGCGTTATTGCATCTGAATTCGACGACGAATATTTCTGTGACACTGCTGCAGTCTTCAGCCAACGTCCACATTGATGTTATATGTGCAAATGCAGAAATGGCAAGGAATGATTGGACACAAGAGTCCAGAACACACCTCGAATTTGATTACTTTGGAGTTGGAATGAAGCATAAAAAGTAAACAAAACATACACGTTTTTGTAACGTCGCAGAGATAGTTGCACTCCAATTCGCGGTCAAATGGGTACACTCATAAAATACTGAAATATTCACACTTTCCTTCTGTGCTTCCGTGGGTGGGATCGCACCAATGGACCTCTATTTCCGGTTTACCGATTTATGAGGGTAGCAACTTTCGAAATAACCGCAAAATGGGGCCATGTCACATGACTAACTTTTCGCCTCCCCCCGGACCACACTTTGGGAAACACTGTCCTAGAGGCTAGACAATGTGGGTGCGACCCCGTTGACCGCATACACATTCACGAGCACAGCTGGGGAAATGAGACTTTTAAAGCTGTCTGCTGTGAAACATGTTGGACATCCGATAAAGACTTACCTTCATTGCTAAAACGTAACGCAGCTCTACGCGAAAGCACTGGATCGTTCACCAAACGTGGATATAGCTGCCGTTGGGAACGACGACGATTCAGGCGCCACGGTACTGATTGGATTTCCGGAGACATGGAACGACGGACCGTTGGCAGCGTAGGGAAGCCGGGCAGCAGATCAGTGAAACTGATTGGTTCGTTCGGAGTCGGAGTGCGATTAGGAGCTTGGCGTGACTTCTTGTCACCAAGACGACAGAGTCGCGAAACAACAGGTGGTTGTTTAGTAACGGTCTTCACCTGGATTGAGTCAATATAGACTTGAAAAAGATCAGAGTACACAAAACTTGCATTCAAGAACGTATGGGTGGAGTGTAGAGCCAGTTATCACCACTAGCCTTGCTACGGATAAGCCACACAAAGGGGACTGGCCTACTTAAGCGACAGCAAATGGAACTTCTTCTTACAAATTGCCTGGAATAGAATTGAGTATAGATGACATCGAGACTTAAGGAACAGCGTGTTATATTTCTATCCGCTGATTTGACCCATTTCAAGCAGAGCAGCCTCTATCTATTGAACATTACCCTGCATATCTCCAGATCTTTAAGCAAAATTTCTTTGTTTTGTTCCTGTGCTTCATGAGTCTGCCATATTGTGCATTGTTTAGTCTGTCTCTACAAATGGCGACGATCCACACCACCTGCTTGAAATCTCCACGAACTACCATAACTATAAATATTATGGGGTAAACAGTATTTTACCTAATCGTCAGCTGCTGCCTACTAGCAACACTGTCCTCCCGTTTGCCCTGGTTGGGTAGAGAGAGAACAGCAGCGAGAGGTTGGGACCGCCAGCCGAGGTTTTGCGCCTGCGCCAATAGTTACGGATGACGGTTGATGAGACGTTGGAAGGGTCATTTCGAAGCAATTGTGTATGGAGGGATTGTGACACGCATCACCAACTGAACTTATATGCGCTCCAGACACAGGCCCAGCGACAAAATGTGTCACGGTCCAGGTTGGTGTGATGGGAGTATACACTCGAACGAACGTGCGGTGTCAGCCCAACAAGGAAGCCGTTAGGGTGCCGCAAGGAAAGGCGGCAGCTGATTGGACGTTCACACGTTTCTCGCATGCACGCTGATTGGCCAACAGCTGGAGTTTGTTTGACTGAATCAAAGGAAAAATGTCATGCATTCACAAAGGTCGTTAATTATGGATCCAACTAGCTGTATATACCGATATGTTTCACTCGCCCTCTGCCTGCGTTTTCGCCTGGTCCTTCTGTTTGCAGAATATACGTTTTGTCCCTGAAGGACCGACTTTTTACATGGTATCAGAGAAGGAGAAGAACATTAGTACCACCCAGACGATGATTGGAGCTGCACCGGCTATTCAAATGCCTGCCCCGCTGCACATGGATGAACGCAGTTTGGCAAGCAACTGGCGTTTGTGGAAGAGCAAATGGATGGATTTCTGCACTTTATCGCGTCTGGACAAACAACCGATGGCGTACCGCTTGGCCATGTTTCGACACGCAGCAGAAGATGATGCGCGCCGCGTGCTAGAGACATTGTGTTACGACAAGAGCGAAGATGCCAACAATCTGGAGACAGTTCTTGAGAAGTTCACTGAATACTGCGAAGGCCAAACAAACGAGACATTTCAACGCTACCTCTTCTTTTCGCGGAACAGGCGGCCAGGTGAATCCGTTGACACGTACGTCACTGAGCTAAAGATTTTGGCCCGATCCTGCAGTTTCTGTAAATGCATGGCGGACAGTCTCATACGGGACCGCATTGTTCTTGGGATCAATGACGAAGGTTTGACGAAGCGACTATTACGAAAGCGCAGCCTATCTCTGCAGCAATGTATCGACATCTGTAACAGTGAGTCCTCCACTGCTTATCAATTCCAGCAGATGACAATCACAGGTGATTCAGAGTTGTGCGCCGTTTCCAGGAGCAAAACTACGAGGGCCACGACCGCGCGACAGGAGACCTGCAACTTCTGTGCAACACGACATCCGAGGAACCGCGAACAGTGTCCGGCGTGGGGCCGCATTTGTGTCAAATGTGGAAAGCGCAATCACTTCGCCCGCTGCTGTCAGTCGACAGATGTCAGTGCACTCGTTCCAGACAAATCAACAGAAGACACCGAACAATCGATTGGTAACGTGTCTCGGAAAGCGTCGCAGAAGTGTGTCTATGCAAGTCTTCTGATCGAGGGACGGTCGGTGCGATTCCAGTTAGACACCGGCGCGACGATCAATATTTTGCCCAGAAAGCACTGCCGCGGCGTGCAAATTCAATCGGATCAAGACTATTTGCGCATGTGGAATGGTTCCAGACTCAAGCCAAAGGGCTCAGCGACAATTGAAGTGGTCAATCCGAGAGACGGTGTTTTGCATCGTCTGCAGTTCGTGATCGTGGATGAGGATCCCACGCCGATTCTCAGCATTGATTCGATTTTATCTCTTGGCTTTGTCATTTTTAACCATGATCGTTTTGTGTACGCTTGTCAGAGTGAAGCCGATGTTAGTGACATGTATCCGTCTGTGTTTAGCCCGGGTTTAGGGGAATTTGAGAGTACCGCTCACTTGTCGTTAGATCCTTTGGTACGTCCGATTGCGTTACCTGCTAGGAGAGTCCCATTTGCGCTACGTGACCGATTTTCCGCGGAATTGAACAAGCTGGTTATACAGGGTGTGATCGCAAAGGTTGATAAGCCAACAGACTGGGTTAGCCAGGTCGCAATCATTACGGAGAAAAATGGCGAACTACGCGTATGTATAGATCCGAAGCCACTGAATGAGGCACTGCGTAGAGAACATTATGCGCTACCGACGTTAGATGTTTTACCACGTTTGACAAAAGCTAAGTTTTTCACGAAAGTAGACCTTTCTTCCGCATTCTGGCACGTTGTTCTAGACGACGAATCCAGGTTCCTCACCACATTTGCTACACCGTTCGGACGTTATCGTTGGCTGCGATTACCGTTTGGCCTGAAGGTGTCTAGCGAAATTTTCCAAAAGCGTTTGGTGCAAGCAATAGATGATTTAGATGGCGTAACCTGTGTGGAAGATGACGTTCTGATTTACGGTTCTACCGAAGAAGAGCATGACACTAAGCTACACCGGTTCCTGAGGCGTTGCGTGCAAAAGAACATCAAGTTAAAACGCGAGAAAGTAGAGCTGCGGAAAGAGGAGGTGATTTTCCATGGGCATGTGTTAACATCCGACGGAATCAGAGTTGACCAAGGGAAGATTAAGGCGATACAAGAGATGCCGTCCCCTAACGATGTGAAGGTAGTCCATCGCCTAAACGGTATGGTGAATTATTTAAGCCGGTTCTTACCAGGACTCGCTGATGTCATGACTCCGATTAGGCAGTTAACTCACAAAGGAGTAAATTGGAGCTGGGGGAAGGAACAGGATTTGGCTTTCGCAACCATTAAGAACCTTATCAGTAATGCGCCCGTACTCGGATATTACGATCCAGCACAACCATTGGAGGTACAGTGTGATAGTAGCCAGAGTAGAATAGGTGCTGTTCTGTTGCAGAACGGAAGACCTTTGGATTTCCGCAGTCGAGCACTCACAGAGGCCGAGAAGCGGTACGCACAGATCGAGAAAGAGATGCTGGCAGTGGTTTATGCCATGGAGCGTTTCAATGATTATACTTTTGGAAGAAAGACAACCGTGTACACTGATCATAAGCCGCTGGTGTCGATAGCCACTGAACCACTGAATAACATTCCTCGCCGTCTGCAGCGTATGCTTATCCGGCTCCAAAAGTATGACATGGACATTGTGTACACACCTGGCACACAGATGTTCATCGCGGACACCCTGTCGAGAGCACATCCGCCAGTGGCCGAACATCATCTAGAAGAGATCGAGACACTTAGCATGGTGCAGCATCTGGCAGTGACAGAAAACCGTTTGAAAGACATAAGGCGTTTCACGGAGGAAGACCAAACTTTAGCAGCTTTGCGAGACGTTATCCTCAATGGGTGGCCAGAAACAAAGAAGCAGCTCCCGAAGGAATTAACACCCTACTTCAATTTTCGGGACGAACTCACTGTCTGTGACGGTCTGTTGTTCAAGGGAAGTCGAATCCTAATCCCTTCTTCTCTCCGAAAGGAAATACTGGAGCATGTCCATCGCGCTCACCTGGGTGCAAATTACACCATTAATCGAGCAAGAGAACTGATGTTCTGGCCAGGAATGACAGGTCAGATCAAGGATCATGTGTCTAACACGACATTCGGCAAACGAAGGAACCGATGATGCTGCATGATGTTCCGGACCGACCGTGGCAAAAGGTAGCAGTGGAGCTATTCTGGGACAACGGAAAGGATTACTTACTCACGGTGGACTACTGTAGTGATTAATTTGAAATCGATTTACTCACCACCACGACCACGGAGGCAGTAATCAACAAACTCAGATGTCAATTCGCACGGCACGGGATACCGGAGGAGCTAGTCTCGGACAACGGTCCCCAGTTCAACAGCAGGGCATTCCAGGCTTTCGCAACCAAATGGGAATTCGCACACCGGCAAACCAGTCCCTATCACAGTCAATCAAATGGGAAGGCAGAGTCGGCAGTGAAGCAAGCCAAGCGACTATTAGCGAAGGCTAGAGATACTCGGGAGGACCCATACCTCATGCTACTGGAGAGTCGCAACACTCCTTCAACGGATATCGGCCTGAGCCCAGTGCAGCGCCTATACAGTCGAAGGACCAGAACTGTGATGTCTGCATCCGCAACACTTCTGCGCCCTGTTACGCCACAACTTGAGAAAGTACAGAACAGTTTGAAAAGGCGAATGGCTACTCAGAAACGGTACTACGACAACGGCGCACGGGAATTACCTGAGCTGACAGTGGGGGAAGAAGTATAGGTTGAACCAATTCCCGATGGACAGGAGCGGTGGAGAAAAGGAGTCGTGGCTGCGAAAGTCGGTGAAAGGTCATACGAAGTAAATGTTTGAGGGAAGAAGCTGAGAAGAAACCGAGTACAGCTGAGGAGATGTCCGAGGCGACAGCATGAATCAGGGAGAGAGCGTTATACTGCGTGCGGCAATGAGGCGGCGTCGGCAGATCCAACAAAGAGGACGTGGAGTGGTAAAGTGTATGGACTATTTAGCAAAGTACAGCAGCAAGAACATGAAAAAGGGAGGATGTGATGGGAGTATACACTCGAACGAACGTGCGGCGTCAGCCCAACAAGGAAGCCGTTAGGGTGCCGCAAGGAAAGGCGGCAGCTGATTGGACGTTCACACGTTTCTCGCATGCACGCTGATTGGCCAACAGCTGGAGTTTGTTTGACTGAATCAAAGGAAAAATGTCATGCATTCACAAAGGTCGTTAATTATGGATCCAACTAGCTGTATATACCGATATGTTTCACTCGCCCTCTGCCTGCGTTTTCGCCTGGTCCTTCTGTTTGCAGAATATACGTTTTGTCCCTGAAGGACTGACTTTTCAGTTGGGATCGCTTGTCATCCATGATAAGTGCCTCAAAATGACCCAGTGACTCATCAACCATTGAGGCAAAGGCTGTTTGAGGATAGATGGTGTCGTGGCAGTTCCTACGGCTCGGGCTCAAGTCGCAGTCCAGATCTGACGAGTGTAAAACAATCACGAAATCGGTCATGGAGTGTGGGCGGACAATACTTGACGATTGAGCTGGAGCAACCGTTCGTTCTTGATCATCGGCGCATTAGAATACTGTGCGAATTTAGTGAGGCCGCTGAGTGAGCTGATGGTTAATGGTAGGTCCCCTGGCTTATTGTTGGATCGGTTGGTCCGACAGAAACGTCATGCGTGAGCATCGCATACCCAGACGAAATCTGCCGTTGGAGAACGCGCCTGATCAGAGGAAACTCTCAGGTGGTCAGGTGACGACGGGAAACGGACGAGAACAGATTGACAGAAAGAGAGAATTAATCTGCACCGAGCTCATAAAGAACCACAGGCCATCTCCGGCATCATACAATAACGAAAGCATTGGTGTACTGGCAATGAATCCCTCAATGCCACCTTTTCAAATGAACAATACTACTGCTCCTACTGCTTACCGAATGACTATTCGTTCCTTTAGTCATCTTTGTTTTGTCTCATGACGATCTGGTACATTTAGTTCGTCACCCAGAGCAAGGTTGACAGTGAGCATAATAGAAAAACTACAGTGCCGTTGATAATAATGGCGTCTGCCGATAATTTGGCCTAGTTGGCACTTTAGCCCGGGACAGGAGATGCTGGTGACAGTAGCATGAGGTGTGAAGCTTACGTTGTGCCGGTGGCCGCAAATACGATTTGATCGCATCCCAAAGTCTGGGTATTAGACTTTTTCTGACAGCTACACGAGAGCTGGAGTCAGATGAGCGTCGTTGGACGTGAGTTTTCTCGATTTACTGGAAGTGGCTAGTTGCGATCTTCGGATACGAAGGAGGATAAGCAGACTGATAAGTCAAACGATGCAAGTCCAACGTTCGGGTTCACAACGCCAATGGAAGTTAAAATGATGGTGACTCTAGTGAAGCAGAAATATTTACGTTGGCTGTCAATGGGAACTACGAAAGTCTTTATCGTAAAGTAAGTACCTGATGACGCCCATTAGTGCAGGTGGTGTGGTCGGGCAACTGGTTCATCTTGAGGACAAGCGTTTTCATACTGTAGAGACAGTTATCCCGGTACATTCGAGGGGTAAATACGGTTTTCAAATTTGAGAACGACACGATTCAGTTATGATTACATACGACTGCTTGACTTGCGACGCGTGATCTCAATCCCTCAGGACGGCTAAACAAGCATCCTAACATAAGGCACTCTAAATTTATAAGCAGTATCATCGTGATCTGGTAGTATCATCATCATTATATACCTTAGCTGTGCCCCATGCTGAGGCTGATGTTGCATTCATGATGCTTCTTCACCGCAGTTGGGCTAAACCAACTTACACTTCAACTAGGTCTTTTTAATGTGGATAAAATTCATTACATTTACTTTGGTTTGTTCTGCGTAATTGATAATCTTCTCCCAACTTGCACACGTCGCTCATGCAAATTGTGGTAAACTTGCGTAATTGTATCGCGTGGTATTTTTTAAATAACTCGGACATTTTGTACTTATCACGGATTCACTTATAACCAATTTCTGCTATATGCCCATTTAGTGAGTATTTATGTCGTCATATGCATTTACTTTATTCGATATCGGCATTTTGAGTGATTGGCTGTTGTTTGACATCCAAGGAGACAGTTGGTCGTTGCTGGAGGGGACGGGGTGCACGGTCCTTGTGGTCGTGCTAGGCTCGAAGAGTGGTTCCATGCAGTCAGTGTGGAGCGGACTACGGTCCAGCCACCGCCTTGTGTGCGATTGATTCCCCCAATATAGCGTGCTTGTGTTTGCCCGTGAAGGAGTGTGGGCCGGCTCCGTTGATGAAACGTGGCTCCCATCCGCATGCTTCCCAGTCTGATTCCTTCGGGTTTACACTGGATATGGGGTGTGTGTATGGAGCTGTGGGTGATGCAGCGCAAGCCATCCATGGTCCTTCTGTAGGCGCAGGCGTCCTGTGGCTGGCTACAGTGACCGGATGCCGCCAACCATATACCTTAGCTAGAGGTGGAAAACACCTCAGATACTGTGCCACAACACACAGAAAAGAAAAGAGAAAAAACAGATGCACGCCAGCTGGGCTACCAGTAACGGATGGGCATTGTCCCGGAAAGTTACCAGCCGGCTGCTAGGTAACAAAAAATGATTATGTAATATTATATTATGTTAAGAAATGAGATCGCAGTTGGATGGGAAGGACAAAGAAACTCACAACAAGATCCACAAGGAGGCCGATTTCTAACCATGTTAGCAAGCGTATCCAGCCAAACGTGTTCATCGTCTTTCAGACCCCAATCAGGGAGTCGAGAGGTTCCAACCGACGCCAACGCCGAAGTAAGGGTCTTCATTGCTCTCGACCAAGTCATCACTTGGCCACCCCACCTCCTTTTTCATCCACACCCCCGGTGCACAAACAACGCATGTCGCGGGAGTCGGTAGGCTGGCATGCGTAACACGTGGCCAAGCTATCGGAGCCTGGTGCGTGAAATAACGGTGCTGAGTGGCTCATTTCCATTTCCTGTGCCGTAAACAGGACGTCGAACACGCTCGTTATTCACACGGTGTTCCCAGCAGATGTGAGCTAAATTACGAAGGCACCGGTGGTCGAACGTAACTAGCCTCTTCAGATCCGCTGCTTTAAGCGGCCAGGTTTCAGCTGTAAAGGGGAGGTGGACGGACAGCTGTATTGTACACACTACCCATCGGGGTGAGTGATGTCGCGTCGGCGCCACAGGCGGTGAAGTTTGGCAAAAGATCCTCTAGCTTTTGTTATCCGGTTCGTGATCTCGTCTTCGATCCCAAGGGCGCTGATACAACTTCCCAGGTAGTTGGATTATAGAAAGACTTCTAGCTGATCCCCGCCAAGGATCAGCACAGGAGGCGGTCCCTGCCACTCGTGGAGAAAAGCTTTGCCCTTCGAGGGGGAAAACAGCCCGAAACGGCTGACAGCCAGTGCTAATCTGTCCAGTGTCGCTTGGCACGTGTGAGAGCTGTCACAGATTAGGGCAATATCGTTAGCATATTCCAAATGACCCTGTGGGCGTTCAGGCAAGTGGATGTTGCCCGCATGTGCTAGTGTGGACACTTCCTTTTCGCCATAGGGTAACCTGAGAGAAATGCCACCAACATGCGGCCCTTTTCAAGCATACATGCGAGCAAGATGTTGTATGGAATACATGACTCAGGGCATCCGTTTCCGGATTCGCATGCCACTAAGATTACGAACAGCCAAAGGACGTTTGCGTGACTGAGGGTGGCTTGTGCTGCACCACCCATAGATCCATCCAGTGTAAACCCAAATTAATAAGACTGCCAGGCATGTGGATTGAAGCTACGGTTAAATTTAGAACTGGTACCTACTACTTCATGCACAACATTCAACTGAACAAGGGAAACATGTATACCAAATGTACACAGGGAGGCAGCTGGGCTGCAACCCTTTTCACACTGGATGGGACCACACTTTGGGTCTAGCACCATCACGAAGACACTATATCCTACCTATCATTGGCTGCGTCTGACTGATGCTTAAGTTGAGCACTTCTTGTTAGTTTTCTAGACCACGTATCCTCTGTGTTCTGGTTGGATTTGACAGTTGCGCATCTGTTAGCCTTATACTATATGAATAGCGAAGTTTCTGCTGTAAACAACCCTGTTCCTGTTCGTTTAGATATTCTAACTGCCGTAGTCAGTGGAAGCAAATGGTAATACCAAAGCAACATTGTGGCTGCACAAAAATTCCAGTAGCAGGCAAAACAGCAAATACATGCTACGACAATTGCTACGTTTGACCTGGTCGGCCAACTTTCTATTTACCACCTTGGCATCAAGCAGATGATTTCACAAGGCATATGCTGCAGGGGCAAAATCATATCTAGACAGCTTTGTTTACCGCTAGCCAGAAAGGGGTGAAAGACGGAACAAGGGAGTAAACTACTTTCACCACACATGCTACTGCGTTTCTTGGTCGCTGCAAGTGTGTTGGTTCAAGACACATGTGGAGCAATGAAACGGGTGTGTAGCATAACAAGCATTGAGGTAAAGGAATTCAGCAAAGGTATTTCATCAAAACTGACCTGTTTTGTCCGTGACGCATTTGCTATCGCTTCCGTGACCATGGCTTGAGCACGTGCTATGTACGCCGAGTTTCTGAAGGTCGAGAAATTGGGGATAAGGTGGTCAACTAGGAAGCATATGCTGAATCGCGTTGCAGCTGGCTTAGTAAAAACAGGCGGCCTATTTACGATGAACATTTTCCTATTCTGTGATATCATTTTACTATGAATTAGTCGCCATCTGACTTCATTGTAACTCAGTATTAGGGGCAGATGATCATCTTAAAGCAACCTTGATGACGTTGCAGACACTGGTGCCTCAAATACTACCTTCCGAGGTGATAGCGGCTACTAATGGGAAAAATACCAGTACGGAGGCGCACCATACCAGTGGAACAAATCCAGTGGAAGGATGGCTCTAGGTACATGAATCCGCGAGAGGAGGCAATGATGTCGGCAGTGAAGTGAAGCTGGATTTAGCGCAACATCTCGAAACAAGGGCACTGCCCTGGGGTTGTCGATCTCTTTCAATAGGTATATGATGAGTCAATATCTGAGGTTGTTGTCAATGAAGGTTCTTGAGAATAGGGTACGGCGACAAGGGGTTGCTGATTAAAAAGGTTTATGGACAGGGCTCGGTAACCCCATCTGAAAGAGGCATTCGCAGTCACAGGTATGATAGAGGAGAAAGCTATGCAGAAAGCGCAAAATTATTCAGACAACAATACGAGTTGTTGTTCGAATATAGGCCGATGAAAACGTACGGGTCTGTGTGTATTTGTTCAAACAGGGCGAATAAAGACCGCTCCTGTTGCGAACGTTCTAACGTGGCCAGGTTATTTTCCAGGTTGGCACGTCGTTTCGTAACTGAGGCCAAAACGGAAGCAGCCTTGGGGAGTATATCGGACGGACCAAATGCATTTGGCAGGTCACCGTGTGGTGGGACGAACTTCTGCAATGCATGATCCATCACGGTGCGGAGACTGGGTAGCAATGAGCCGATACCAACGACCGGTTGTCCGTGCGAAGGCGCAACAGCAGTTGGCTCGGAGGTAACTGGCTGTAAGAGAGCAGGTCTTTGGAAAATGAAATGTAAGGGGAACTTGACATGTATAAGCGTTTATCAATGATCTGATAAACGATGCAGCTGTCTAGGTGAAAGCTTGAAGCTCGTGCTCGTGCCCCCTTCCTACATAGAAGTTACTTGACGCTGTCGGGTGGGCAGAACCAGAAATGTATTTGAGCTGTTTCTAACTTTGAGCTCAGAATTAACACGGAAAAGAACTGTCAGACACCTTGTAGGATTGGGAATGTAGTAACTAAAAGCAGGGAATGCATATTGTAGGTTCTCGACTGCTTAACGTGTGCGAAGTAGGACCTGCGATAGAAGAGCTATTTTCGTTGTAAATCATCACATGCTGGTGCCGAAGCCAACCATGCGCTGATGTACTGTAATCGAATCCCTTGGGTGGGTTTGCGACCACATCGCAGAGAAACGCGGTCAAGTCAAGGAGCAAAGCCTCAATAAATTCACTGGCTAGCACAAAGGATGGAAGCCGCAAAGTGAATGAACATATCCACAGTGCCAGGATGGTACACTTTTAAGTGTCGTTATATGACGCAATAAGGTGGAGCAAGACAACGCATCAAGGCAAACCGATGAACTAGAGCAGGGCAACTGAATGAAGGGTGGGTTTTACTCCAAACGGAATTTCGACGGGCGTGGCTAGCGAAATATTGTACCGCGCGGCTTCGAGCGCAAGTTGGTGCATTGTGTGTTATATAAGGACGTCATGACACTGCACAGAATGCAGCACAGCATAAGAGAAGACGGAGAACCAGTCAGTTCCTAGGGAAGAACACAACACAAGGCCCACATATCCGCACACACATCCGCACACGAACGACTAGGTCTAACATCAGCTGGTGAAGCGTTAGTGTCAAATTGGGCCTCAGGAGGATGAACTAGTTTGCAGCCTGAAAAGGTTACGGAGCTGCTACGCAGGGTGGGGCAGTAGCGTGGGTGTTTGAAGACTTCTGGTTCGGAAGCACACTCAAAGGTAGACATAATTCATGGCGCCGTAACGATACAGCCGCCCTGAGAAAATGCTTCAATTGGATTGAGTATAGTCAGCGAACTCAAAGGAATATTCAATTGCTGATCAACATTTATTGTCGCTGAAGGTAAACATGGAAGAGGTTAGGTATAAACCGAGCCGTCAAAACACTTGCTCGTTGTCGCACGAAATGTGCCATCAAAAGTGACTACGTGTGCGTCGGTGGGAACGACAAACTAGCAAAGAGTTCTCCCTGAAACCGTTTAGAATTCACCTGGGTATTGTGATGGCGGCTGAAACCGATGGGTGAGTGGAAATGCTATGAGACCGGTAGGCAGATGGCCAATCGAACGCCACACGGCATTTCGCGGGGTACCGAACAGATGCAAATTACAGAAGAGTAGTAGGGGGAGTTGAATGGTATAGGTAGAAATTCGTCACATCTAGACTCATTCAGACAGCCATTACACGCCCGGAAAAGCACTGTACGCGCGTTTCATCCTTTCGGGAATCGTCAGCAGTGCGCATTCCATCGGACCCTGGTAGGGCTGGAACCCGCAACTCGACTGTTGCCAGTCCCTGGTTGAAACCACTGAGCTACGGGGGACGGCAACAACCATCGTGAATAAGTTACTAGATGTGATATAGCGCCGAAGGAAAGTTAGCATGTCATCGGAAGCGGATTGGTCAGTCGAGCAGCGAGTGGTCGACACACGGCCACGTCGAGGTCAGTGTGGACAGCCGGCCAACTTAACATACATCCACTGAGTGTGCAGGTGACCAAGCAATCAGACGCCGGCGGATCGGTTTGCCAGACCACGAATAGATTGTAGGCACCTGAGTCAATGTGTGCTGCGGCACCGGGCTAAGGGAAGAAGTGTGTGACCAACTGAGCCACTAATACAATCGACCCAGAAAGTCAATAACACGGTTCGAGGTAATTTCAGACAGAATGAATGTTGCGAACAAGCGTGAGGCAATGAAAATAGAGCCAGCGACATAATACAGATAACAACAGTAAGCCAGTGGAGCGGACGCTCGCAAATAGTGTATATACTCTACAAATATCCAGGCATAATCTTACTAAACGATTTCATGATAGCAGCCCAGTCCATTTGATTTGCGGAGGACCACAGGACAGGTACAGGAACTGTCGAGATGGTTCAGTTTTAAAGGTAACCAATAAAAGGTAGGTGGAGCCACACAGGATTGGTCACTAAGGCGCCAGCTTCAGTCGGTGGGAAACCGTCAGTTCAGGTGAGCAAAATAAACAATGCATAGCTGATCGAAACGAATGTGGCATAACGTCCACAACATGACGCATCCAGCAGGAAAGTACCGTACGGTAAGTGTGACCCACATGGTTCACAAAATACAGCTAACGTGCAACGTTCCCCGGTCGAAGACTGAATGACGCGCAGGAAAATGATCCTGAAATCAAAACAAGTTTGGATCACAATGTATGCGGTACGAATAACATACATAAAGTTCAGGGTCCTGGTGTATCACCGTCAATAACAGTGTAAGTAAACAAGCGAGGAGAAAGGGCACTGACAATTTCACAGCTCAAAACAGACCGTCAGAGGATAAGTGAATTGACCGCGTAGAAGTGAAGTTTATGCAGTCACTGGCCAATCACCATGGCTCAATCACAAAGCGAGCGAAGTTTATCGGCGAACGTCAGGCACACACATACATGACTAGTCTATGGTCAACGGGTGGCATGCATCCACAAGGATTACGGTGGAAACAAACAAATAAGGGAGTGAACGTGTAAGTCACCAGACAAGGAAAGGAACTCATGGGGAACTGAACATTTGCTAAGGTAAGGGCATGGTAGTGGGATAAGTGGTGGACCACTGGACGAAGGGTATATGGAGTATATGGAGCAAACCGGCAGCGGGGGGGGGGTGACATCCAGTGAATAAACATCCGCGTTATGTGAGGGCATGGACTAGGGTGTACGATCAGCCATCGCAACAACGATGAAAGGTCATTTGCAGGGACCAAAAGCACAACACAAATGAAGAACGAGATCACGTTCCAGAGGACTTTTTCAATCACTGCAAAACCCCGCTACACCTCTCCAAATTTTTCTGTGCGTTTGTATCTTGAACGACTGGCATCACACTGGCTCTCACCCTATGATGTTAGCTTTCATGCGCTCACATATGCTAGGGGTTTTGAAAAGCTTACATCACCGAGGGTCAACAGTGAAAGAAACCGTTCTCCATGACTCCTAACCCGTGCCTCACTTTGGCGTCTCCTTTGTCAGGGGTGCGTTTGGATGAAAGGCGTTTCCCATGACTACCACCCTGCATCCATCACGAGAATGAAAAGTTGCAATCCATCGCCCTCTAGACGGCATAACCGTCTTATGTCCCTCTTCACTACTACGGAGACCGTCTTGACAGAAACTGTTCGTACTAATCCGTCGGCACTGGTCTCACAATTAACTACACGACCCATAGGCCAAGGTGGCTGAGGCACATTTTCGGAAACGGTTAGTACTACGTCATCGACGAGTAACTCCTTTTTCGGATGTAACCATTTTTGGCGTATTCGCAAGGTTATGAGGTATTCTCTTAGCCAACTTTGCCAAAATATGGCAGCGAAGTAGTTCACCTTTTTCCACCGCTTGTCATACCTTTCCCTAATGTCTGAAGCGGGAAGTTCTAATACCTATTGCGGAATCAACAGAAGACTGTTCGGCGTCAAAAGGGGCATGCGCTACTATCGATCGTCGGCGCTATAAAGTTACGATTGTTCAATATTCTTACGATTTCAACAAACATGGTAGCGAGTGAGTCATCAGATAGGTGTTGTTGGTTACATACACTATTCAACACTTTTCTTACAGAACGGACCATCCTTACACCTCCTCGATGACTAGAAGCGGTGGATTGAAATGCCATTGCACCCCACAAGCAAGCAATTTGCGATTGATTGTCCACTGATCCCACTCTGGATGCAGTCCCGTAGTTCCTCCACTGTCCCGAGGAAGTTCGTCCCGTTATCACTGTAGATATCGTTTGTGCATCTCCCTCTGCCAATGAAACGGATAAGTACTGTAATGAATGCATCCGTTGCAAGATCATGGCCCACTTCGAGGTGAACAGCCCTGGTTTGCAGACAGGTAAATAGGCAACCGAAACGTTTTGCCGTCCCCCGACCACGTTTCACGTAAACAGGCCCGAAATAATCTATGCCAGTATACTTGAAGGGAAACCACCCTTTCTCTGCTCTGGCTAGTGGAAGCGGGGACATCTGTTGCTGGTACGGAGCTGCGGTCCACCCACGACATTCTACACGTCTCCCGATGGCCATGTTACAGCGCTGTCAACATCCACAATCCAATACCTTGTACGTATGACGCTCGAAAGGTGAGAAGCTCTGCTATGTCATTCCATTTCGTGATAGTGGCGTAGGATCATGTCCACCACGGGGTGTTTATTCGGCAGTATAGCGTGATATTTCATGTCGTCACTGTAAGCAGCATACCCCAGACGTCCACCAACGCAAATGATATCTTCACGAAACACTGGACTGAGACGTTGAAACGGACTCTTCATTTGACTGGGCTTGGATACAGCCCTCCGTGTTCGTAAACTCTCGAGTTCACTTGCGTTAACATCGGACTGTACCATACGAATGACATCCCGCTTGGATTTTGCCAATTCGCTGACTAGAAGCGGATCCACTGCACACAGTGAGGCGGTGGAACGAGCGCGACGCCTAAGTATCCAAACTTTAAATCTCGAAAGCCCTAGTCAGGATAATCCAATTAGAAAACTGTTCTAGTGGCGGGTTGGTATTCTTCATCATCGTATGCGCGTTTATGATGGGGTGAGTGCTTTTCAACTCGAGGTTAAGTTGCGAGCTGGACAGAGAGCATTCGGTCCGCCAATTTCGTTTATTACACCTCAGAAACTCGGGATCTAGAAGCTAAGCTTCCCATTCCCTTGGATCCTGGATACAACGCGAGGTCATGTCGGCCGGGTTA